ATAGAGAAGAAGGAGGAGGAGGAAGATAGGGGAAAGAAGTGGTAGAAGAAGATGAGAAAAAGAGGATAATGGAAAAGATTAGGGTCTGAATTCTCATTTAACATAGTCCAAAAAGGATTAATCCAGTAAAATATGTTAATTAGGTGGCACACTGGAATTCTAGCAGGTAACCGTCATGACATAATTACTCCCTTCGTTTCAATTTATATGGTAATATTTGATTGGATATGAAGTTTAAAAAAACAAAAACAAAAACAAAAAAATTGAAACTTGCATTCTCGAATAAGTTATAGATATTGTGACTATAAATCATCTCGTCATAAATAAAATAAAAAATTTAAAGCTAACTTATTTTTAAATAAGAAAGTATGTCATTCTTTCTATACAATAGACGCGACGATCGAATTATATCGATAAGGATGTGTAAACCTAAGGTGAAGAAAAAGATACGAAGATATTTTGTTAAAATAGCACGAGCTAGTCAGTTTTCGGACTGGTAATTCAAAAATAGCCAGCATTTGCCAAGTCATTAAAAAATAGCCACTATTTTGCTGCTACAGAGACCGGTCCAGCATAATATACTGGAGTTTGGTGCACCTCTGTATGAACTTCCAGCATATTATGCTAGACCGGTATACTTTGCTGGCTCCAGTATAATATACTGGAGTTCTAGCAAAGTATACTGGAACTCCAAAGTCCAGTATAATATGCTGGATTATTTTCCGGATTTTGAACAGTGTTCTCGTTTAGATTTATCTTTACATGAAAAGTGGCTAAATTTCGATAACTTTTGAAACTGTGGCTATTTTTGAACGACTATTTGTAAATCGGGCTATTTTTGAATTTCTCCCATATATTTTGCATGACAATTACCCTTTATAGCCCCTCAAAATTTTAATAGCCCATGTTTTGTCCCACTTATAGAAATTGGCCTTTCGACCCAAACATATTGCATATACTAGCCGAAAGGAATGAACATGACAACATAAGTGCCTGTAGCTCAGTGGATAGAGCGTCTGCTTCCTAAGCTAAGGTCGCGGGTTCGACCCCTACCTGGTGTGATAGAGCAATCCTTTTTTGCCCTTTTAAATTGTATTTTGTACTTCTGGATCTGATAAGTATTAGCTAAGAATTGAATGAAATATGTAATGCAGGTCATATACGAAATATTTATTTTGTATATTTTTTGTATAATAACAGTCTATTTTTGTATATGTTTTGCATAGTGACCGTCTATTTTGTATATTTTTTGTATAGTAACAGTCTATTTTTGTATAGTGACAGTCTATTTTGTATAGTAACAATCTATTTTGTATAGTGACAGTCTATTTTGTATATTTTTGTATAGTGACAGTCTATTTTATATAGTGACAGTCTATTTTGTATATATTTTGTATAGTGACAATCTATTTTGTATATATTTTGTATAGTGACAGTCTATTTTGTATATATTTTGTATAGTGACAATCTATTGTATATAAATTGTATAGTTATAGTCCATGTTGTATATTTTTTGTATAATGACAGTCTATTTTGTATAGTGACAGTCTATTTAGTATATATTTTTGTATAATCATAGTTTATTTTTTATACTTTTTGTATAGTGATAGTCTGTTTAGTATGTATTTTGTTTCCAATTATCACTTTCAGAAACATACTTCAATACGTAAAATATGTTTGATTCATCTTCCACAGAAGAGAAAATCAAAAATTATCATAGCCTCATTGTACATAAATGAAACAGAGAGAGTAACAAGAAATTGAGGCTCAGATTTGTGTTTAACCACATGCACAAAAAAAAAATCCAACGACACCATGGCTGCAAAACCCCACTGCGAGCATGCCCCGCCAAGATACGGGTGGGGTTATCTCAAAATTTCCCAATTGATTAATAAGCTCAGAAGGGAATGACAAAATCATCATCGCCTCTTTCACCAGCTCCACCGGCAAACATCGAATGCTCCGGCGAAAGCATTAAAGAAAGAAAAAGAAAAAAAAAATGGAAGTGTTGTTACTAATGCTATTCTTATTTAATCTACTAAACAACCCTTAATAAAATTGATAAAAAGGGATGTTGTTTGGGTTCTTACAGTATATGGAGAAATCAATGACTAATTACAGAGAGAGGCAATCGATCGAGATGATAGAAGAGAACGGGGCAAGGATAGGGATAGGGATAGCAGATTGAGCCGTAATTACTTTTGGGCTAGCCACTAGAATTGCTTTTGGGCTATAAAATGATATTCCAATTTTAAGGCTACCGGGTATTATATGTTTGGGCCGACGGGCTATAAATGATATTCTCTCAAATTTCTTTGGTTTTACATGGTTGGACTCCGTAAAAGGGTTAGTCCTTGGCTTCCTCTTACGTCGTCCATATGCTTTGATCTAAGATCAAAATGTTCAAATATGGGAAAAGAAAAGTGCAAAGGGTTCCAAATCCTGCCACTTGGAGGCAAAATACAGGCATTCTAGTTAATCCAAATAACAAAGAGTTCAAATTTTATATTTCATTACTTCTTCCGTTTTATCTACCTTTGGTGGGTTTGGTTAGATTATTAATTGATTAATTAGGAGATAATGACATTGGCAAAATTGAAAATATCATCGTGCACGCTGCTCTTGTTACATCACCAAACGAAGAAATTAATTATTTCCGTATAAATAAATTCCAAGATTCCTTCCACCTTTTTGGCATAAACGCCAAATTTGCACTTTTGGTTGGAAATCACACTCCATTAAAATTTTAAAATATCTGATTAAGACAAGAAGACTACTCATCGAAATAATGGAGTATTGAGGATAGGACATGCTAATTTAGTTTAAACAAATTACATCTCCCCTTTCAACTTTGGTACGTTGATTATTAGCATGCCCTATTAATTCGTATTTGTCTTTTAAGACAGGAGTTTCTAGGCAAACTCGGAAAAGAAAGAGTGGTTCCCGTCCCGAAACAAAGCATCAGTCAGCTTTTGCCTTCCTTCTAACATAAAATATAGATAAGAAATAGTTTGTATTTGGTTAATTAATTCGAAAAGTATTTTTGAGCAGTAATTAGTGTTTGAACAAGCTTATAAAAGTATTTTTAAGTGTATTTCTCAAAATGCTTTTTCTAACAAATAATTTTTCGGAAGAAGTTAATTTTTTTTTTGCATCTCAAAAATTGTTTACACGATAATAATCATATCATATATACTAAAAGTAGGAACCAACTCAGTCAAAGTTAATTTACAAATATCCTTCAAAAGCTATATGACCATTTTTTCCTTAAAAAAAATTGGTTCTAATGAATAAGGCATCTTCCATGTGATTTTGATAACTACAAATTAGAAAAGAAAATAGAAAATGAAGAAATTACGGTCGGAAAAAGATGCTAATTATGGTCATGGGAGATTCAAAATGGTGATATAGAACCTTGGAAGAGTTTAGAGAGACATCACAAATCATAAGATAAAATTAACATACACACACTCAAAAAAAAAAAAAGGAAATCTAGTAACATATAATAATAAAATTTTACATGCAGCTTGCAATGTGAAGTTGAAAAGGAACATTTATGAACAATACTTAAGAAAATTTAGAGATGAGAAGCAGTTCTTTTATTGCAACTACTTTTTTTTTTGTAGTTCTTTTTTCTTGTTGGCGGAAATGACGATGCTGAGATGGATGTGTGGCCATGCTAAAAGAGATAAGATTAAGAATGAAAATATCCGAGATAAGGTAGGAGTGGCTTGTGTGGTGGACAAGATGCGAGAAGCGAGGATGAGATGGTTCAGGCACGTAAAGAGGAGAGTCACAGATGCCCCAGTGAGGAGGTGTGAGAGGTTGGCTACGGCGAGTCCAAGGAGAGGTAGAGGTACGCCGAAGAAATATTGCGGAGAGGTGATCAGACAGAACATGGTACATCTTCAGTTTACCGAGGACATGACCCTTAATAGGAGGGTGTGAAGGTCGAAATTAGGATTGTAGGTTAGTAAGTAGCTGAGTGTCTTTCCTTTCCAAACTTGTACTTCCTTCTATAGCAGTAGTACTAGTGTTATCCTCGTGTTCCCTATTTTTAGATTGATATTATTACCTCATATTTCTTTGCTTCCTTTTTATTTTTTGTGGTTGTTGCTACTATCTCGCTTTCCATAGTCCTTTGTCATAACTATTGTGTTTTTACTTTATTGAGTCGAGGGTCTTCCGAAAACAGCTTCTATACTTTCACAAGGTAGGGGTAAAATTTGCATACATACTAACCTCCTCAGACCCCACTTGTAGGAATACATTGAGTATGTTTTGTTGCTCTAGAAAAAAAATGGTCATATAGCTTTTGAAGGATATTTTTGTAAATTAATTTTAGACTTAGTAGGTTTTTTAGTATAGTATGATGATGATGAATATCGTAAGCACCATCAACGTTAAGCTTAATAACATAATCATGAGGTCAGAGGCGGATCTAGGATTTGAGGCTTATGGGTTCCTACCGTAATTTCAGATTAATATGCAATAATAACTGAGTTCACAGTCAGATATTTACCAATATTTAGTGAATTTTTTAATATAAATATAGAGTCTACGCAAGAGTTACTGGGTTCCCGGGAACCCGTAGTATATGCACTAGGTCCGCCCCTGCATGAGGTAGTTGTCATTTTATAGGTTTGCATACACTTTACCCTCCCAACTACACTAGGTTTGTTGTTGTTGAAGGCGGTGCAAGGAGAAGAGGTTACGAAATTGGTAAAATAAAGAAACTCAGTAGCTTACAACATTGGTTACAACTTGAGCAATTTGTTCAAATACATGTATTGCTTTTTTTCCTATTATCGGATACTGCAATAGTGGAGACTCTTCCTCACTCTTGTTATTTTTG